CAGGCCTCAAGTGGTGGTCAGGCAGAAGTCTGGGCCTCAGGTGGTGGTCTGACGGAGCTCAGGGCCTCAAGTGGTGGTCTGGCGGAGCTCAGGGCCTCAAGCAGTGGTCAGGCGAAGCTCAAGGCCTCAAGTGGTGGTCTGGCGGAGCTCAAGGCCTCAAGTGATGGTCCAGCGGAGGTGAGGACCTCAAGTTGTGGTCCGGCGGAGGTGAGGGCCTTAAGTAGTGGTCCGGTGGAGCAGTAACGTCACGCGGTGGTCCGGCGGAACTCGGAGTTGAGGAGGAGCAAGGAAACAAGAGCGATCTCCGATCTCTCTCTTCAATTCTTTGGCTTGGGGTCCCCCTTTCAAGAGGAAAGGGAGCTTTATTTATAGATTTTTGAAGTGGCATGGCCCGTAAATAGGTGGGAGATCAAGGGCAAACGGGGAGTGGTTGGATGGACGGCCGATGTTGAATCCCTTGATCATGGTCCATTTGATGGACATTTGAATGTCTTAGTGATGTCAGAATTCGGTGATCTTAGGCTCGTTGGATTAATCTCGTCGAGCCGCTCGATTCAATTATAAGTAGGTTATGTTTGGAAACCATTTGGTAATCCAAATTGTGGTTTAAACCTTTCAATAGTGCTTCTAACCCTTAATTTGTATATTTGATTTACTTATATGTGGATGCTATTACATGCTAAGGTAATGTCAATTCAAATGTATATGTGATGATAAAAATTTGACATTTAAATAATTATGATAGTTGGAATGTATAGTAACTATCATGACAATATATGAATGTATTATGAATACATGAAAGATGTATATATTGATTTAAAACACATGTAAAGGAAAAAAAAAGTGAATATGAAAGTGTATATGTTTTAAAGTATATATGTTATTTAAATTACATATAAAGATATATGTAAAGAATAATGAAATAACTTATGATATGTAAATGAATATATAAATAAAAAGGGAAAAGGTATATGCGAATATGAAAGTGTATATGTTTTAAAGTATATATGTTATTTAAATTACATATAAAGATATATGTAAAGAATAATGAAATAACTTATGATATGTAAATGAATATATAAATAAAAAGGGAAAAGGTATATGCACGCAAATTATATGAGTTCACCCCCCGTATGATACTAGCTGTGGAAGTAACGTATCCATGTACTTTAAAAAGGAAATAGAAATGAAACGACAATGGTTATACCTTCATTTGTATAAATTTTATATGTCGCTTCTGTACTAAATGAAAATAAAAAATGAATAAAGGAGAAAACTGAAAAATGCATAAATGTTAATTGAAAGAAAAATGAATACATTATTTGGCAGATGTCAAATAAATGTTTATACCATATGAATTGATCCACAAATATGTAGACCAGAAAGAATAACAAGATGAATATGATGCCTTTTTATATGTATAATTGTTATGTTACAATGGTGATTATCCACTATGTTTATCATGTGAACTCAAATTGTTAAACTAAATATTTTAGGTAAGACTCCTGATAAGTAGAAAAGGTTAAAAGAGAGAAATTTGTGTATAATGATAATAGGTAAAATTTGATTTTTGTTTGTGAATAAATGAATAATTTGTTAGTAGCTCTTTAGTGTTTGTGGAAGGTTAGTTCAAACTGTTATATGTAATTGTAGAAATTGTATTAACCATATGATTTTCAGTTCCCGCCTCATTAGTTCGTGTCTCCGAGCCGGGTCGTGACATACTGGAATTCAAAAAGTTCAAATATAAAGCTATTACAAATATTTTAAAATTTATATCTTAGTATTTTTATATATCAAAGGGTTCTTTAGTACATAAATCACAATCATTTTTCTCTTTCGTTATAAATCAGCCAGCTCATGAACCGACTCAAATTCATAGATTTAATCTCGTGGTCGAGCTCCAACTTTATTAATTAATCAAGCTCAAGATCAAATTAGAGGTAACTCAAGCTCGATTTGACTCGTTTCTACCTCTAATTTGAACTTCATTGTCCTCATATTTTCATTGAGATTAGTATTATAAATGATATATAATGATTAAACTAATCTCAGTATAAATTCAAATATAATAAATTCTTTTCTAACATGAATATAATCATAATATTCTGACATAATTTTTTTTATTAATAAAATTTTATTAAAATTTTATTATTTATCTACAAAACTCTATCATAAGATATTAATTTTATACAAATATCAGCAGGAGAGAATTTTTGACATGAATTCCATCTGGCAACGGCGTTCCTTAATATACTACATCCTTACTAGCATTAAATATTAATGAGTCTTGCACGACTTGTTGATAACCATGCAGGGCCAATTAATATATCAAACAATCATAAACAATTAATCTCAACAACCAGCTTTGGCTTCCTTTTCTTTTCTTAATAGGATTGGACAGAGCTTGACAATTTCAAGGCTTAGTCTTTTTTTCTCTATTTATAATATTTAATAATTAGGTTTCTTTGGGGATAATTTTTTTATTATTTTATAATAATTTTTTTAACACATAAATTTTTACAACAACAACAACATCAAGCCTTTATCCCACTACATGGGGTCGGCTATATGAATCCTTTTTTCTTCATTGTGTTCGATGAAAAGTCAAATTTTCATTCAGATATAATAAAAAAATGACATTTCTAATATTTCTAATCAAATCTTTTTAGATCCATACCTTTCTTAAGATAGGTTAAATCTAAAATATGTACTCTCCTAACCGGATCATCAGAAGGCTGCCGTTTATGTGACCAAACTATCTAAGACGACTCTCTCTAATCTTATCTACTGCTGGATCTACTCCAACATTTTCACGTATATTTTGTATCTATCTCTAAGAGTAAAGCAAAAGAAAAAATTTAATTCAATAAATTTTTGAAATAAAAATGATTTTAGAAAGTAGTAATAAAGCAGTCCCAAATTTATTTAAATATTTCTACTTTTAGCAGCAAAAAATAAATTAATTAGCAAAATCCAAATAATGTTATTTGTAATAATCATACATCGAGTATTTGAAAAAAAAAAACAGTCCCAAATGAAGCCTGGAATGAATTTTTTTATTGATTTCTAAAATAATTTTTAAATATAAAATTCTTTGAATTAAAAATTGTATATATAAATTTATTTAAAAAAAAATATTCTAAATAAAAACTTAGTCGTTGCAACTACTTCTTGGTCAGCTACTCAGCTAAGCTACTGGAGCGCATTCATATAAAAAAAGGGTATTTGGTGTCTTGTCGCTTTCTAACATGTTTCTCAAAGTTTTAAGGGACAAACAAATCAAAATTTAATATTATTGGTACATTGTATATGATGGATTCACCGCTAGCTATAACATCAATGTTGTCTTCAATCATATTCATATTAATTTAATTATAAAAAATTATTATTTGTTATGAGATTAATTTCTTAGGGTCCATTTGATTTGGATTTGTTACTGTTTTTTTAAATATTTTTTAATACAAAATTTTTTGTAATATAAAAGAATACGAAAGATGTCTAAACGAAGCTTTGACGGCTTTCTTAATGCTTTCCAAAGCAGCTGTTTAGTACAAATATTTTAAATTCAAAAAAATTGTACTAAAAATTGGTTTAGAAAGCAGTAAGAAAGTTGTCCCGAACAAAATCTTAATCTTGAATGATGATTTTGCGGATAAGTTGATAAATAAAAATTGAAGGATAATCTTTTATGTGAAATACTCATAAAGAGAAAAACTATAAAATCTAATATAATAAGAATATTTTAAGGTAGTAAGTAGTTAAAATGGGTCATTTGTATGCTAAGAGTCAAACTGTGAGAAACGTTCATTGTTGTCGTAGAGTAGAAAATTTTAGAAAATTTGATGTTTTTGGTGTGAAGTATGCAATGGAATAATGGTCCGAAATAATTGTTAACCTATAAGAATGTTATAGTTACGAAATTCTCTACAATCCTGATTCAAAATGTGTAAAATATAGTGCTATTATCTAGATATAGATTTAGGGTGTGGGTGCGGTCAATACCCGTGACACTCCAATACATAATGTATCAGTACTCGCTCAAAATATTCTTGATTTCCCTAGACATTCTCAAATAGAGGGCCCAATGTCACAGCACTCCCTCAAATTTCACTCCAATACAGAGAGGACGACACTATAGCACCACCATGGCAGAACTGCTATGCACCCCAACTCAACCTCCCAAAAAGAGAGGGAAGCGCCCTCTGCGCTCCAAGGCACAACGCCGCAACGCTCTCAAAGTATTTTTTCTACTTAATTTTAAATTTCCTCCATTCATTCTAGACTATATAATCTAAACTTTTAGAATATATAGAGGCATGAAAAAGGATCTCATCAGGCTTTATAGCCATAGGTATTACAAATTTACCATCCTTTGGATGCCTTATACATGGTTAAAACTTTTAGAGTCAATTCTTACAAACTATGGAAAATTTAAACCTTTTAGCCCGACTGAGTTAAGCCTAATTAGTTGTCTAATATATTTAGAATCTAATGACTTTTCTTTCCTAATCTATTAACCACTAGCTTTTTCCTCCTCCTATGATTGACCAACTATATTTGCAACATATTTTACTAAAAAACCTATTGGTCAACTCATATCAAGAGGCCAAGCAAGTGTGAATAGCAATGTGGTTCATTTAGAAATAAGCTAGAGTAAATACACTCAGCTAAGGCTTCCCAAGCCCTTGATTTAAATATAAGAGCTCAAGGATGTTAAAGAATTTTCCTATAGCTTCCTTGATCCTCTTAGGCTTTAAGAGAGAGTTGCAATAGATGCTCCTTTGTGTGATCGTCTATTGCAGTTCACTCAAAACTATTTTTTCTATCCTCTTAGAGCCTCAAAGAGTTATTTCGGAGCACCCTAGCCTTCCTCATAGACTATAGGCCCTCCTTGCACATATGAGATAATCTCAAAGAATGTGGAGGCCTTTATGTGAACCAGATGGGCTCCAATATAAAGACTCGACATGTTATCCACATTATTGTATAAACTTGGCATTTAAAGCAGTGACGAGTCAAGTTTGTAATGGCTCAGCCTTTTCTCACTGGCCGCGCACGAGTCGGCTTCCACCTAGGCGCCACTCACTCGCACGCCGCCACGACCCATCGAGATAACTAATTCCCGCGAGCCCATCCTTAATGGCATTTCTTGGCTCTCGCCATCTCTCCTTCTCGTTTGCCGGATTTTCTGTCCTCCACCGCCGCCTTCCCTTCCCCTCCACCGCTCGTCGGAAAATCCTTCGCTGCATACGGATCTTCTCCATGGAGGAATCGAGCAAAGCGGCTAGGAGATACACCAACCGCCTTGCCTCCGAGCACAGCCCTTACCTTCTTCAACATGCACACAATCCGGTAGATAAGTGGATTCTTATCCACGCCGAGCACTTCTAAATTTTTATTTTTATTTTTTGGGTATTTGGGACCATCCGTCGAACCTGCTGTTGACAGACTGATTGCGCTTAGTCTATTTGCAGAAAGGAAGTGAAGTTGAGGAAAGTTTGGTTAGGGAATGAGCTCATTGATCTTAATTTATGGATCATTTGGTTAAGAATTATTTGACATGCATTGTAATCTTTTGGAGAATATGCCATCATCATGGTCATCTTCACCAGAAGCTTTAGTGCAACTATTTGGGGTCTCGTTTTGGAATTATTACTCTCCATTTGTTCCTATTGAGTTTCAATTGAGTGTTGCATGAGATATTAACCCTAATTTTCACATCTATTTTTGCAAAACTTCTATCAATGTCGCCTTCTGTCTACACCTTTTTCTTCATAATCTTTTGATGCTAATATATTTATTGGTGAGGCTGCTTGTATTGTGTTTATTGAGGGTCATCCAAGCTCCATCCTATCTTAGGCGTTGCAGTAAAGTGCAGTGCTTTGTATGAGAGAGTTCAACCTATTTATGGTCAATATTGTGTTTGGTTTAGCTTGTTTTCTCTTTATGTTGTTTATATTGAACATAGTACCTTTGGTGTTTCTAGATATCACTTGTTTGAATCATGTCAAGTTTGTGGTAAGTTGAAGGAACGCAAAATAGTAGAGTATAATCTGAATATGGTAATGTAGCATAGAAGTTAACCTACTTCATGCGCATGGTAATGCCATAAGGGTCCCAATCTTCTTATAATAAGAAAGAACCATATCATGCTTTAAATCAGATTTTGTGTCGTGTTTACTTGCATGAAATGGAGAAAGTGTCATTAGAATCTAGAAGATAAGTTGTTTCTGTTGCCTTTATGCAGGATAATGTAACAGAAAAAAGAACTCAGATGATGTGCACCCGTAGATAATAGAGCTGGGGAAGCACCATTAAGGATGGAATGAGGGATGGGAAAATAATAAAAGCCCAAAGTTGTCCCTTGACTAATCATATGTAGCAATTTTAGTCACAAAGTATCACATTTCTCCAATTTTGTCTATTGACTATACAAAATTGTTCACAAATAATTCCTCAGGGACTAAATTGGGATCAATTTTATATGTTCAAAGATTAAATTGAGATCAATTTTTAATCCAAATTTTCATTAATTTCTACGACCCGAGGGATCATTTGAGATTAATTTTTTATAATTGAGGGATAAAATTAGAGAAATGTGATACTCTATAATTATATTGGCCATGTTCAAATAGTCGGGGCACTATTTTGGGTTTTTACCTATTGGAAAACATATGGAGAGGACAAAACTAACCATGTTGAGTGTGCTTAAGCAAGAAATTGTTTAAAACTAGTAACTGTGTAGCTCTTAGTAGGAGTAGCTGGCAAGAAAGGTTCCTAATTACTTGACATATGAAACTAGGTTTACTAATGCTCATGAGTATGAGTGTTCCTCTATTTTTTTTTATTGCCGCTTTACCGAATTTAAACTGCGCCAAACTTTGTCTTCTCTTGTTGGTTTCATCCAGCATTTTTGCAAGTTTTCTGGTGATTGTTCTTTGTGTTAGCACTTCACCATGTTGTGTAGCATAAATCAAGGAATTACTTCAAAATACTGTTTTTTTCCTTTGAGTTTGCTTCTCCCTTATTGTTGCACATTAACTTGCCTGCGTGTTTAGACACTGTTGAGTCAGTGAAGGTTTTTATTGGTTATTCTGACATATTTTACTGTTCTTTTGATGGAAATAGAGAATTTGTGCTGTTGTGTTCATGTGAACGTATATCCCATGGTTACTAGCATCTTATAGTATTTTACTCTGTGAAGGTTGACTGGTACCCATGGGGGGATGAAGCTTTTGAGAAAGCTCGCAGAAGAGCTGTTCCTATTTTTCTATCTAGTATGCATTCTTTAACATTTCTAGTAAACTTTGTAATTCATACTTATGCTTACTATGTCAATTCCCCTTTTTGTAATTTGATGTTTTTTTGGGTTTTCCTACTTGCAAAATGAATGGCAAATGTTTATGAAGTTGGGTATAGCACATGCCACTGGTGAGTTCTCTAACTTCGTCGTTTCTTTCATGATTGTACATGTATCAATCCATCTTATAATAATATATTTGTTTTGTAACCAAGCATTGGAATGTCATAGCAAACTGATGGTTTTGCTAATCATGTGCTGATGGTTTGCTGACACTTTTTTCTGCATTTAAGTACATATACTTGGTTATATTCATGCTGCATCATTTATTCTTTTTATATTTAGGTTCAAAATTTGCACAGATTCATAAATCTTTTTTTTTTTTTTTTCAATTTTAGTTTCTTATTCATCCTAAATGTCACTTTGACTTCCACAGTGATTAAATAACGCTTCACTTGGTGAGATATTGATTTTCCCCACACATAATGTGGTTATAATCAGGTGTCATGTTATGGAAGTAGAGTCATTTGAGAATGACGAAATTGCAAGAATGCTAAATGAGTGGTTTGTTAGCATCAAGGTAAATTTTGTTGTTATCCTTATTCCACAATCATACTTTCTTTGGTCCTCTTTAGCTAGATTTAGAAATCACCTTTATTTTAATTTCATAATCACCTACTGGAAGCTATCAATTACTATTACTATCTGATTTCAAATTTAACAGGTGGATCGCGAGGAGCGGCCAGATGTTGACAAGGTAAATTAATAAAGCTACTGTTATGATGATTATTGTCCTTATGCCTAATTTACCGTCGAAAAAATCAAAAGGGATTAAAATTTTACTTGATTTTTCATATTCTAATACTCAGAATGATTTTTTTTATGTTATATAATGTTGATTATGTTAGAAAGTAGTACTAATTTGTTATTGGGATAATCTGTTGCATAATATTTATGTCTCCCTAAAAACATGAAGGATATAAGTTTTTGAATGTTTTCCTTGTTAGAAAAAGTCTCTTCGTTGCCTAAGAACATGAGGGATATTGTCAGGATCCAACCTATAGGCTGGTAACAGGGAGGGAACAGATGGTAGGACGGATGTTTAAAATTTTATTCACTAAGATTACTAATAACAATCTATTTCTAACATACTTAAAGTGCCACTATTTCATAAAAAATATAACCATTGAAAATAAATACCTTTGTTACAACCCAACCTGAGTACTTAGAATATCAAGTTGGGAGCAACAATCGAATGATAATTTAGTTCTTTTCGGTAATAACTAAATAATCAAATTAATAGTATTCAAATCTTAGAAAAATTCAATAATAAATTAATTATCAATTTGAACAAATATAACATAATTCTTACCTATTTTTATTTGAACCTCTTCATTTGTACATGAAGCCTTCTAGATTAGTCATTTACACTATTGGAGATTTACTTGAAATTTTTAATTAACTAGGTTGAGTTTTCATCAACAAACTCGGTAGTAGATTACAATTTTATAATATAGCAATAATAAAGAAATATGCTTATGAGTAATCATGATTTATCTGTAACATTTCATATTAAAAATAAGCATAAGTATTGATAATCATCATTGTAGGTGAATATTCTTTAATATTTCTATTTCCAAATTTTAACTTTGAGTCATTTATTTTAAGAGAGTCGTATAAAATTCGTAGAAATAAAGATACAATTATTTTTATTTCCATTTATAACCTTTTTCAATTTTTTGTGTGCATGTATTTTGCCTGTGCATGTGTAAGTTAATGTTATGTGGGAAAAAAAGCTAGTGATATAAGAATTTTGTAAAAGATGTGCTTGGAGTATCAAAGAGAGAAATTACTAATAATAAAAATAGTTGGTGGTTGAATCAAAATGTGCAAAAAAGATAAAAAGTTAAAAAATTTGATATAAAAATTAATTTAGCTGTAAAAAATTGTGAAAATTAGATGATTTGTTATACAAATTGATTTAGGTGTAAAAAAGTTTGATAATTGGGAAAGATATAAAGTGGTCAATTAGGAGTTTAAGAAAGCAATATGCAATACAAAGATTTTAGTTTTTAATAATTTATATAATAGATTAGATACTAAGAAGAGTGAAAGATATATGTATAAGTTAGTTAAACAAAGATATAGGAATAGTAAGGATTTAGTTATAGTGAAGTGTATTAAGGATGAAAATAAAAAAATACTTTTATTAGAAGAGTATATTCAACAAAGGTGGATGAGATATTTTGCAAAACTTTTCAATGAAGATTGTGAGAGTGCGATTGACTTTAGTAATCTTAGCACCCTAAATGAACATAAAGATTTTTGTTTTTATGGGCGTATTAGTAAAATCAAAGTTAAAGAGGCTTTAAAGAAAGTGAAGTGTGGAAAAACTGTTGGACCTGATGATATTTCAATAGAGGTGTGGAAATGTTTGGGAGATGAAAGAATTTCTTTGCTTACTAAACTTTTAATATTATTTTGAAGACTACAAAGATGCCAGATGAGTGGAGAATGACTGTGTTGATTCCTATTTTTAAGAATAAAGGTGATGCAAAAGATTGTGCTAATTATAGTGGAATTAAGTTAATGTGTCATACTTTAAAACTATGGGAGAGAGTTATGGAGCATAGTTTGTGGCGTGATACTAATGTTTCTCAAATCAATTTGGATTCATGCTAGGTAGGTCTACTGTGGAAACTATACATTTATTGAGGTTTGATGAAGAAGTATAGAGAGAATAAGGAGGATATACATATGATTTTTATTGATTTAGAGAAAGCTTATGATAAAGTTCCATTAGTAGTGCTATAGATGTTAAACCGATATATGGAGTGTAATTTTAGTAGCAATAGACCTAGTGAGGGGATTGCGACTTTAGGTGATCAAGTCATTAATAAGAGTACACGTTTTAGATATCTTGGATCTATTGTTCAGATTGATGGTGAAATAGATGGGGGTATTATCAGCAGAATTCAAGTTAATTGGTTCAAGTGCCGGAATGCATCGGGCTTGTTGTGCGATAGAAAAT